ACAAAAAGGAAAAAAAAAAAAAGAAAAAAGAATTTTAAAAAGTTAACAAAGCCTACAAGATTTATGGGATGTTTACACGAGCAAATATTCGAATTATGGACATTCCAGAGGCAGAAGAAAACAAAAAGGCATTGAAAACATATTTAATGAAATAATAGCTGATAACTTCCCTACTGTTTGGAAAGATACAAACATCCAAATTCAGGAAACTCAAAGATCCCCAAATAGATTCAACCCAAAAATGTCCTCTCGAAGACACATTGTAGTCAAACCGTCAAAAGTTAGAGAGTGAATTTTAAATATAGCAAGAGAAAAGCATCAAGTCACTTATAAAGGAATTCCCGTTAGACTAACAGCAGACTTCTCAGCAGAAACCCTACAGGCCCGGAGAGAATGGGTTGATATATTCAAAATAGTGAAAAAGCACTGCCAGCCAAGAATATTATACCCAGCAAAGTTATCCTTCAGAAATGAAGGAAAAATAAAGTCATAGACAAACAAAAATTATAGGAATTCATTACCAGTAGTCCGGCCTTACAGGGAATGATTAGGGGAGTCTTACATCTAGAAGAGAAAGAACAGTAACAACCACCATGAAAACACCTGGAAATATAAAACATACTGGTAGAATAGATACATAAAATAGAAAGAGGAAGAAGTCAAACCTTATCAATACAGAAAATCACCACACTGCAACAATAATAAGAGAGAAAGAAAGGAACAAAGGTTACACAATACAATCTGAAAACAACCAACAAATAAAAAAATGACTCATCCATGTGCTGCCTACAAGAAATACACCAAACCTACAAAGACACATACACTGAAAGTGAAGGGATTGAAAAATATTCCTGCAAATAGAAAATAAAAGGGAGCAGTAGTAACTATCACATAAAACAGACTTTTTTTTAAGATAATAAGGCTTTTATTTTTCATCCACAATATATATAAACAGTAAAAAAATAGACTTTTAATCAAAATCAGCACTAAAAGATGAGGAAAGACATTTTATAATGATAAAGGGATCAGATAACTATTACAAACATATGCACCCAACACTGGAATGCTTAGACATATAAAGCAAATATTTACAGATCTAAAGAGAGAGATTAATGCCAAGACAATAATAGCTGCGGGACTTTGACACACCACTCAGCATTGGACAGGTCATTGATACAGAATATCAGTCGATTCCATAGACCAGCTGGACCTAATAGACATTCACAGAATATTTCATCCAGCAGCTACAGAGTACACATTCTTTCCATCAGCACTTGGAACTTTCTTCAGGATTGACTATATGCTGGACCACAAAACTAGTCTCAGCAAGTTCAAAAAAATTGAAATTGTATCAAGTATTTTCCTGACCATAATGAAATAAAACCAGAAATCAATAAGAGGAACTTTCAAAACTACACAAATACATGGAAATTAAACAACATATTCCTGAATGACCAGTGGATCAAAGAATATACTAAGAAGGAAATTCCTTGAAACAAATAAAGATAGAAACACAACATACCAAAACCTGTAGGATACAGCTGAAGCAGTACTAAACGGAAAGTTTATAGCAATAAACACTTACATCAAAAAAATAGATTTCAAATAAACAAACTAACAGTGCACCTCAAGAAACTAGAAAAGCAAGAACCAACCAAACCAAAATAATCAGAAGAAAAGAAGTAATAAAAATCAGAGCAAAAATAAGTGAAACAGACTAAAAATATAATAGTAAAGATCAACCAAACAAAAAGTTGGTTTTTGGAAAGATAAACAAAATTGACAAACCATTAGCCAGGCTAAGAAAAAAAAGAAAAGACCCATATAAAATCAGAAATGCAAAAGGAGACATTACAACTGTACCTCTGAAATACAGAGGATCATTAGAGACTATTATGAACAACTATATGCCAGTAAATTTGAAAACCTAGAGGAAATGGATGAATTCCTGGACACGTGACCTACCAAGACTGAACCAAGAAAAAAATGGAAAAAATAAAGCAAAAACAAGTAACGAGATTGAACCAGTAATAAAAAGTTTCCCAATAAAGAAAAGCCCAGGACCAAATGGCTTTACTGCTGAATTCTGCCACACATTTAAAGAAGAACTATTACTGGTACTTCTTAAGTTATTTCAAAACATCAAAGTGGACAGACTTCTCCCAAAGTCATTCTACTGGGCCAAGCGTTACCCTGATACCAAGACCAAGCAAGGATGCAACAAAAACAAACTACAGGCCAATATATCCCTGATCAACATAGATGCAAAAACCCTCAATAAAATACTAGCCAACCAAATCAAAAAGATTATACACCATGATCAAGTGAGATTTATCCCAGGTGTGCAAGGATGGTTCAACATATGCAAATCAATAAATGTGATACACCACATCAACAGAAGGAAAGAAAAAAAAAAACATAATCATCTTGATCAAAATGGAAGAAGCATTTGATAAAATTCAGTATCCCTTTGTGATAAAAACTCAACAAATTAGGTATAGAAGGAAACTGTCTTACTTCAAATAAAGGCTATATATGACAAACCACAGCTAACATCAGCTTTTCCCCTAAGAACTGGAATAAGACACCACTTTTATTCAACATAGTATTAGGAGTCCTAGCTAGAGCAATTAGGCAAGAGAAAGAAATAAACAGCATCCAAATTGCAAAGAGGGAAGTCAAATTGTCCTTGTTTGCAGGTGATATGATTTTGTAGAGAGAGAAACCTAAAGACTCTACCAAAAAACTCCTAGACCTGACAAATTCAGTAAAGTTGCAGGATACCAAATCAATATACAAAACTCAGTAGCATCTCTACACCGACAACAAACTAGCAGAAAAAGAATGAAGGAAGCTATCCAATCAACTAACAAGAAGAAGAAAATAAAATACCTAGGGATAAATTTAACCAAGGAGGTGAAAGATCTCTACATGATAAACTATAAAACACTGATTAAAGACATTAAAGAAGAGACAAAAAAATGGCAAGACATCCTATGCTCATGGATCGGAAGAATCAGTATTGTCAAAATGACCATGCTACCCAAGGCGATCTACAGATTCAGTGCAGTCCCTGTCAACTATCAGTGACAGAAATAGAAAAAAACAATAGAAAAAATTTATAGAGAACAACAAAAGACCCTTTTTTAATTGTTTCTTCCTTTGAAATCCTAGCATATATTTATAGACATAAAAAATGCACAGAACTTTTTGCAGTTTAGAAAATCACACTCTTGTACAGTTTCTATATCTGTGTATCTGATATTAAGAACAGCATCTCCGTTTATAACCTCTTTTCCTCCTTGCCGGGCACATCAGACAGGCTTCCAGAAGATGCTAGGTCAGTTGCCTGCAGCCTCAGCTTACCACATACACCACTTTCCAGCAACTGGATACAAATTGCCAAACTGTCACCACCTCTGCCAAGTTCCTCCTAGTTTTTGATAATGCAGAGTTGGAAAGCCCAGGCCTTGCCATGCCAGTGTGCCAAATTATCTTGCTGGTGCCAGCGTAGTCTGCTCTTACCCACAGCAGTACAAGGATCCCACCCTGAAATGCTAATCCCCTCAGCTGCTCACTACTGTCCCCACCAGAGGATGACATGCCTGGACGCCTTGTGGGCGCATCTGTCCCATGGCTGTGTCTGAGCTTTCCAGGACCTGCTGCTGGTGCTCATAGGTTCGTGACATCTCTGGGAGCCAGCACTGATGTGGTGCTGGAGATGGTGATGGGCATGGCCCTGCGGTGGAGCCTGCTCTGCAGTGCAAACACAGCTTCAGTTGCTGAGCAGAAGCATTTATATCTCAGGGAGGGGACCAAGGAAGTGCACAAAGCCACATAGTCCTCATAGGGGCAGAGCTGGGTTGAATACCTCGGCGACAGTTAACCCAGACTTGGGGTGAGTGGGCGTGTCTCCCTGAAGGAGAGAGGGGGTGCGGGTTGGGTGAAGCTGGATCATAAAGGGGTGGGCCAGGTCAGGAAGAGCCTCTGTGCCACACTGAGTCCTAAGGAAACCCAGACACATCCATGCTGTGGGAACTGCGACCCCAGCAGACATGCAGAATCCGATAGCAGGGGGGTGCCACGTTCACCTCCTCACTTGCAGCTGAGCAGTGTGGGTGTGCTGTGACAGCAGGGTCTGGGCAAGGCAAGGAGGTGTCTGGCAGCAGGACCACACCCAGGAGGAGGGTAGGGAAGGAGACACCAGGCCTGAGAAGCTGCGGTGAGTTGTCCATGCAGAGAACTTCTGAGAAATAGTCGAAGACAGGAGAGCCAGCTCGTGGCTGTGGCATCTGTCACATGTGGTGGGGGTGGGGTCCTGACAACCTGGAGGGATGGGCGTGAGAAAGGCTCAGGCCTGCCTGCCAGATGCATTGCTTCACCAAGTGAGTATGCTCCCCCTTGGTTTAATCTGGTTAAGGGCATGGGAAAGGTCACGTGGCACAGGTGTGGGAATGGAGCTGGGGAGGTGGGGAGACATGCTGCCAGGGTCTGGGGAGAGCTGCTGGGTGGGCATTGCCTGGCCTTTCAGACGCAGATGTGCTCAGCAGCCACATGGTCAGCAAGAGCCACCAAACTTTTCTGTATGTAATACTTTAATAGTTTTTATATCTTTTTGGAAATTCTCACTGAATCAGCATAAATGAAAAAGCAGTATAAACTGCATTTATTTGCTTATGGTAGGTATTTTAAATGCAGATAAACTGCTGATTGTATCTTAAATACCACAGGCATTTTACCTAAGACCTGTAAACAGGGACAAGCTTCCTTCTGGATGACTTTTGTTAAACCTGTTGATTGTTTTGCTAAGGCCATCAGTTTTGAGTTAAATAAAATGAGCATTGCTTTTGAAAAAATTGATGTGTATAGAAAGATTCAGTTGCTGAATTGTCCCTTGAGAATCACTTATTCAAAAACTATTTCTGACCCTGAGCTTTGTCTTTCACACTCTGCCTTTAAACCAAATGTACATTACTCTCACAAAAACACTTTCCTTCCAGAAGTCCCCATGAGAAGAAGAAGAAGAGGCGGTCACGATCAAGGACCAAGTCTAAGGCCAGGTCTCAGTCGGTGTCCCCGAGTAAGCAGGCAGCACACCGGCCCACGGCCCACTCAGCCCACTCGGCCAGCGTCTCTCCTGTGGAGAGTCGGGGCTCCAGCCAGGAGCGTTCCAGGTGACCCCCGACCTCTGGGTGGTTCTCGCTGGGGAAGGGTGGAGGGGGCCCTTCCTCCCCAAGCTGTCATCATTTGTCCTCGGGGGAGCCGTGGGAGCCCCACCCTAGCTCCCCTTGGACAGAAGAAACCCCCATGTGGCCTCAACTGAGAGTCCCAACCTCAGACGTGATCACGTTGGTGGGTGGGCTTCTCTAAATTGATGATTCGCTGAGTCCTGCTACGTGCAGAAGATCTCCCTGCCGTGCCCAGCAGTAGAGGGTGTTCGAGAGACAGTGTCTCAGCATGACAACAGCCTTGCTCAGAGAAGCCACTTTAGACCACCCTGAGATGCTGCCTTTTAAATTCAGCCCACACAGGTGACAGGAGGCTCACTTGTTTTGTCCTGGGTGAGGTGGATGAGATGGTGGCCCCAGCTTCAGAGACCACAGCGTAATCCTAATGGACCAGGCACTGGGGCTCTAGTGACCGGGGGACCCAGAACTCCCTCAACATGTCACCAAGCCATAGAAGCCAGAGCTAAACTAGCTTCCCAACTAAATGGGATGTGGGGACATCAACGTCCAAACTGATTATCACGTGGTATAAAGCCTGGTAGCATCACAGACACAGGGATCTGCATCCTGGGCTTGGTGGTTCAGTTGATGGTAGCCCACAGTCATAAGGAGACTTTTCCTGTCCAGGTTCCATCTGCTCAACAGTGGACTTGGAGTCAGACACCCTCTGCCTGCCCACCCACACCCTGGCAGAGGCTTGCTCTCACCAGCATGCATAGTGGGCACGTTTGTCATATGACGCTCTGGAGTTGGCTTGAACTTTTACATGTTTAAGCCTCCACTCTCTCTGTCTGCATTAGGGGAGTTTCTCAGGAAAAAGACGCTCAGATCTCTTCAGCGATCGTCTCTTCCGTGCAGAGCAAAATAACTCAGGTGAGCAGGGCGTGTCTCTCCTTCCTCCCGTCTTCTTATGAAAAGGCTTCGGGTCTCTGCTTCTTTTCACTCCCCGTCCCTCATTTCATCAATACCATGTCTGGATGGGTCCTGCAGAGCCAGCAGCTCAAGACCCCGGAGGTGCTGTGCCCTGGCAGCCCCCAGAGCCTATGCACCCTGGACCCACGTGACATCCTCCCAAGGCAGCCACCCCGGGGGCCCTGCACCCCGAGCCATGCCATGAGGGTGACTGGGCCTTGGTGTAGCCCTGCCCTGGGATGCATTCCCAAGGCCTCCTTCAGTCGTGGGAAGCGCTGTCTATTGTCCTTACCGCCACCTCGTTTATACATTTCTTCAACCGTGTGGACAGCCTGGTTCCTGGGTCTCAGCAGGCAGCTCACAGGGTCTCCTCTCTGCCTCCTTGCACAGGATCTCATGGCCAAAGTAAGAGCAATGCTTGCAGCTTCCAAAAACCTACAGACCAGTGCCTCCTGAGATAACAGCCCCACCGGGTGGGGACAGGTGCCGTGCACAGCGACTGGTGTGGGGCTTGTGGCTCCCAGAGTCTGAGGTCACAGAAATGGGGACAGCTGAAGAGCTCGTTTCATTACAGACCCATCACAGAACATCGTCCAGATCTTCCACCCTGGGATTCCCTTGGACAATTGGTGGTTTTTGTAAATTAATTTTTGATGACATTTTCAGTTTAAGATTTTTGACCAGCAGTCTCTCTTACCTGTACATTTGTAAATAATATCATGTTTCTGTGGAAATGTATTATCCAATAAAATGGGAGGAAAACACCTTTTCTAGCTAGCAGCTTTGGGACAGTTTCTTCCTTCTTTGGCTGCGGGTTTATTTTTACCATTTCATGTCTGTCTTGGGATTCTGCCATATGTTCATTATACAGATGTGGCGGGAGGTGTGGACGGCTGTTGGGCTCACCTGTCCAGATCCCTTCCCCTCCTAGTAGCAGGGGCTCGCTCCTCCCCTACCCCCACGCCTCCTGCTGTCCCTGGCCCCCTTCCCCTGGCTGTAGTCACAGCCAGGGGGAGGGCAGGTCCCGGCACTCTCCGCAGCCCCCTTACTGAGCAGGAGGGAACAGCTGGCTCTGCAGGTATCATCTGGGAGCCAGGATCCTCCCTCAGGTCTGGGCACCAACATGCATGGCTGTGTGCTGCCTTTGTCTCACTTGAGTGCTGTGCAGCTTACTCCCTGGTGATCTTCCGGGTACTCGGTGCTTTGGGCTCACCACTGGTTTTGGCCGTGTCAGTGAAAATGCAGAGTGTGTCACTGTCCATTGGGGCATTGAGTTCTGTCATCTCCACAGTGCTCACATGCCAGGCACATAACAGGCTGGTCCCAACACCAGAAATGAGGCTTCGCTGTCTTGTCCATGGTGTGAAGTTCAGAGTAATGCTTTCATCCCCACTAAATTCTCTAGTTCCCTTAAATGCCTTCTGTGCCAATATCAAATTTCATTCCCACTTCTGCTGATTTACCAGAACCCAAAAGTGGAATTTGTGTTTCCCTCCTTATTAAGTAGAATCCTTCCTGGACCCCCACTCTGGTCACAGCCCTTCCACTCCAGACATCTCATGCCCCCTGCAGCAGAGGGGGCAGGCTGGAGAAGGGGGCCACGACCCCGAGGTACAAGCAAGCTGTGTGACCAGAGCAGCCCAGAAATGCCACAGACACCCAGGCCAGGCAGCACAAAAAGCCACCTCCCTGGCTCTGGCCTACAGTCCCCACATGAGCGCCCACCCCATATCGTCCCATATATATCCATGTCACATCAGTGCATGTCTGAACACACCGTACAGGCCTTTTCACGCAGCTGGTGGCCTGTTTCACACCGAGTTCTGTGCTTTTTTTGATGTGTTTGTTTTGAGACAGCACATTGTCAGCACTCAGGAACCTGCCCCTCCTTTCCAGTTGCTGTGACAGTCCATTCAGCACGTGCTATGGGCACCTGCTGTGTGCCCGCTTGTTGACAACATCCACATCCAGCTCCACGCTCACTCCTTCCTTCCCTGGGAGTGTGCCATGGTTTAATTCCTCAGCTTTCCAGTGGCTGCTCCTAGGGTTGTCTGTGGTCTTTGCTGCCAGACTGACAGCAAATTGCTTCTGCCACCAAGTGCAGGTAAATGCCTACAGGCAGAGTCCCGGGTGAGACGGTGGGTGTACTGTGAATTCTGACACAGCAGTTGCCTTCCAGAAAGGACTCCTAGCCAGCAAAATATGGGTGCCTTTTCTACACCTCATCAATAAACAGTATAATTTCAAACATTATCTTTGCTGAATTAGACAGAAAGTTCTCATTTTAATTTCTCTTTTTAATGACAAGTAAGATGGATCAGCTATAGTTTCTTTACATGGGAGAATTTATTTTTTTTGTAGCCATTTTTTGTGTGTGATGGCTTCCAGGTGCCATGTCTCACCGAGACAGGATCCATGCGTGCCAGGGGTGATTGTGTCTCGCTCCCCTGTGTTCACACCATGTTTTACTCGCAGTCACTTGTTTAGCTGTGTTATTTTCCAGTGTGCAGCGTCTGGGATTATGAACCAGAAGTAAGAGTCTCGATGGCGGAAAGACTTCTCTGGGGCCAGAATCAGCAGGACAGTGACTTTATGTGTGCACCATTGAGCGGGTATTTACATTGGGGGACTCAGAGCACATCTGGAGTGGTCTGCTTGGAATTCCCTGGGGAGTCTGTAAGGTCCTGTCTGAACCAAGCTCATGGGACGGTACTACACCGACTCGTGGTGTGCTGATTTGGAAGTGCCTTGGGAGCATTGGGTGACACCGCAGGGGCAGCTTCAAGACTTCAGATGCAGTGTGACAGTTAGATGACTTTAGCGGGTGGTGCTTCGTGAGCTCCTGAGAGCAGCTAGCTGCTTACTCACCCAGATATAGACGTCAGGGATTTTGCGTTTGGGGATCCACGAAACGTGTAACCACATCACTTCGGAAAAAGAGACCCCATGGTCTTGTCACCGGGTCAGTGACCTTTCATGTCCCGGGGCCTTCCATCCCAAAATTCTGTGTGGCTGGAGTGGTTGCCCAGGGAAGGGGCGGGTGCTGGCCTGGGATGCCTTGCCAGGTCACTGCAGCCCCCAACCATAGCCCTGCCTTGGGAGGACAACCCGCCTGACCCCTCTGTCTGCTCCAGTCTCCAAAATTACCATTTATGACGGCCGCAGTTTCCCAAGGAAATGAACGTGGTGGCGTCACTATACACACCTTCCCAGGTGAACTCGACACACTTGCACTTTCTGTCATTTAAATACTGGGAAATTGGGCTTTTCACAGTGTGTTTGGTCCACGTTCCTGTGTATGTGCTACATTCCTGATTCCACGTTACTGTTGAGGACCACGTATGCTAAGCCATAAGTGTAGTGCTGTATGGGCAATGGAAGAGATTTTTTTCAAGGGTGACTTTGACTACACCCCTTGCCCATGTGAGAGGCAGCCCCACCCCACATGGCCTACCTCCCATTTAGAGATTTAGACGACTTTCCGATTTTCACCATTATGAGGGATGCTGCTGTGAGCATTTTGGTAAAGAGTTTCTCTCCTTTAAAAAGATTCCTTCCTTGTGTTATATTTATAGTAGTTTTACTGGATCATTTCTAAGGCTCTTTAAATATGTTAATAAAACTGTTCTCAAAAATATTTCCCTGTTTTGGGCCGACCCCGTGGTGCACTCGGGAGAGTGTGGCACTGGGAGCGCAGCAACGCTCCCGCCACATGTTCGGATCCTATATAGGAATGGCCGGTGCACTCACTGGCTGAGCACCGTGCAGGCAACACCACACCAAGGGTTGCTATCCCCTTACCAGTCACGAAAAAGACAAAATATATATATATTTCCCTGTTTTTAGTTAGAATTTGCTATTCCCTATTTTGTCAGAATTTGCTTTGATGTCCTTGGTTGCTCAGATCAGCATGCTCTCTTCCCTCTTGGGTGTAACCTGTGTCTGGACCTTTACTCTCCGGCCCAGATGTGAGCTGAGCTTCCCAGAACAAGATGGGAGCTGCAGACAAGAGGGGGCAGGCGGGGAAGAAAATGACTGGAAAGAAAGCATTTGGCAGGAGATGGGCCAGGTAGGCCAGAGAGTGAGGTGTTGCTGAGAAATTCAAAAACTTCAACCTCAGGGCTGATCTCAGCAGATAGTTTTCACCAGTATTTGCGGGTTTTCTTAATTTATTTATTGTTATTGTACATGTTTATGGGGTACAGTTTGTTGTTTCAACACATGCATATATTGTATAATGAGCTAACAGGGGTTTTATTTGTCTTGAGTAAATGATGCATTCGCATGGCTAAAATGTTAGTTTCTTGTGAATTCTTCCAAGTTCCTTTTTACAATACAAGCAAATATAAAAGCATATTGTCCCTTCTCTAGCCCCCACAACACACACACACACATCTGTGCACAAGGGAGATGTATATTGCGTGCCTGCTTCCTCTTGCTGTTGCAGATACTGTCTTGGAATTGAATTATTTCCTCATCTATACATAAAGAGCCCCTTCTTTTTTTTTTTTTTTTTTTTTTTTT